CTTTGAACAGGCAGGTGCCTTGATGACAGGTCCTTCTGCTTTCAGGCTCTGCCTTCACTCCTCCTTCCAGCTGTGGGACATCTTACTACTCCGTGCACCCCAGAGATCAAAAATAGAGGAGGGGTCAGAGGCTTGCTCAGCTATAAGGCTTGCTCCCTAGTAGTTGTGTTTTCTCATAAAAGTTAGGACTCCCACTTCTGAATGAACCACCTCTATCAGTGTTAAACGAATTTCAGAATTTGTTTTGTGTAGTTGTAACCATGTTGGCTTTTGAATTAATGCATGGTGACAGTATGGTGTACAGGCACAAAACTGCATCCTCTGGATATTTTTATGATCTACATATCCAGGCTGGGAATTTCTGATAGTGTTTCTATTCAATCTGCCCCTGTAAACAGTAGTTCCCCTAGCACGTTACTTGTGTCACCAAACTTAACTAGAGAATTGCTGCTGTATCTGCAGTCAGATCAAGTCACTCTGGCGAAATCAAAGGGAAAGATTACCCAGCTCCCTTTGTAGCTAATCCTGGACTTCAGTATTTGCAGCCATGAGTCAAAACTTTTTTTTGTTTCTTTCTGACACAGCTCATTCCAAGTTGGTACATGACCATAAGAGAGACTTTCCTTTGGCACTTGGGAGGCAGGCTCTGCTGCCAAATGCTCCTGTCTGCGACTGCAGGACTTAAGAGCTTTTTGGCTCCTGGGAGAGATGTACATGTATTCTGCTGCCTGGGGTCATTTCCTGACTTACATGTTCTTTCCTTGCCAACAGGCTGCCAGACAACATCCCAGGAGAATACAGAGGATAACTGCATCCTAAAGAAACCAAGATGTTACAGCTTGGGAGAAAACTCGATATCAAGGCAGACATCAGGAGAGAAATATGGAGAGGAGAAGCAGCTGATATATTCCAAGAGCCTGAGGAAGAGGAGATCTTTTCTGAAAACCAATTACACCTCACAGGTCACTTTCCCATTGGCTGTACCAGGCTCTCTGCAGAGCTGCTGCTCCTGGCCACCCACCCCGCCACTCCCTGCTCAGCCCTCAGATTCACCTTCTTTGGAGAAGGATGCAGAAATGGGAGCGTCTGCCCCCCAGGCCCAGAGAGACACTGCTGGCACAAACTCATCCTCCAGTGTGATGGAAATGGAGCCTGACACCATGGAAACAAAGTCAGTGACTGATTTGGTGGTTTCTTCCATTTCAGCTGTTCGTTTGCAAGGTGACCAGAGGGAGGAGAGTGCAGATGTTGCTGCACTCTGTCCTGCACATGCTGTACACCCAACTTCCTTGCTCCAAGAGGAAGCCGTGCACCTTCCCCAGGAACAGAGCAGTGCTATCAAGGAGAGCCCCACAGTGAAGGGGCCAAGTGACAAGGACTGTGCAACCACCAAAAACCAGCTAGCTAAGGCAGCACTGGAAGGGGAGCGTGATGTGATGGAACCCAAGCACGAGGCTGGCAGGTTCCAGGGCCAAGAGATGGCCTGCTCTACTGATGAACGCACTCTGCCGCCTTCGTCTTGTAGTGCTTTTCCCCACGGGGTGGCCAAGGAGCAAGATCTGCTTCCCACAGCTGGGAGACAAGTGGCATGTGAGGAGCCTGTGCTGGCTCCGTGTGGTGAAGAAGGAAAAGCTAATCTCGATGGCTGTGCTGAAAGCCAGAGTGACAGTGCCTTGTCACAGGCAATAAGCAAACAAGCAATAAGCAAGGAGGCCTTAAAGAAAGTGCATGATAAAAACCAGGTAGGTTTTCCAGATGCAAGGCAGCTGTTAGCAAATGGCAGCAGCAGTTCAGGGGTTATAGCTCACCTCTCCTGGCTCTCATTTCAGGTGAGGTCGGACGTAATACCGCCCAACCCATCTCAGAAGGGAGGGCATGACCCTCTAGAGCTTTTGGACTCTCAGGGGACCGCTGTGTGCGTGGGGGATGATATTGTCAGAAAGGAGATGCAGACATCATCAGCTACACCAGCTCTTGAGAAAGAGTTGGAAAGCAAGCATGGGATGGTTGAAGGGGAGCCCAGAAAAGACACACAAGACGTGGCTCATGAGCATTCCCAGCCTGTTCAGACTCCTATTCTTAGAGAACAGTCTGCCACAGTGGGGAAAGACACTCTTCAAACCAGAGAGCTTTCCATCTCCTCAGACCCAGTTCCCTTGGGCTCACTGGGGAAAACAGAAGGAGACAATGGGGATTCAAATCACTCCTTCCTCTGCTTTAATCACAAAAAGGATGAGCAGGCTGCTGCCGGACCCATCCTGACCAGGTCTGCGGGATTTTCTGTGAGGAAGAAGACCTCGGCACAATTTGGGATGGACAAGTGCAGCTGTCAGCTGTCCTACGTCAGCTGTTTCCATAGGTCCAATGAAGATAGAAAGCAGGAAACCACCAATCCCACGTGCAGCATGTTTCTGAAGCCTGTCACTACTCCACCGTCCACCAGCTCTGGTAGTTACCCCATTGCCGTTGCTTGGGACGGAGCGCTGGGCCCTGAAGTCCAAGCCCTCAGCCAACTGAAGGACCAGGCATGGACGAGCCCTGCAGATTTCCCGGGCTTCCTAGCCTACATTACAGAGCTCCAGGAAGTTGTGGGGAACCTCTCTGGGAACCAAGCAACCCACCTGCAAGACCGATGTGCAGAGCAAGGTGCTGAGAGCAAAGATGCCCTTGGCTCGGCCTCTCAGGTCCTGCTGTCCAGCTGCAAGGAGCTTCTGAAAACGGAGCGTCCGCTTGAAGAGCTGCAGAAGGTGTTGAGGGTGACGTTTGACCACCTTGTTCAGCTGGCAGTGGCCTGCTTCCAGGTGACACACTGCCAGCTATGCAGGCAGAGGCAGCAGGAGCTCAGGGCTGCGCTCGTGGATGTGGTGGGCACCTACCACCAGCTAGTGCAGGCTGTTCACCAGCAGCTTTGCAGGCAAGGCTGCCCAGACCTGGGTAGCACGCTCCTGACACGCCAACACACAGCCCTTACTGCTGCCACGTTTTGCCTCCTGCAGCAGTTCAGGGTCCCCCCGTTGTGACAGGGCAGTTGGCGAGTGCGGAGGAGCCTCCCCACATTTCATTCATGTATCACTAGGCTCCCCCACACGGGACGTTTAACCCCCACAGCTCAGCAAATGGTCACGAAAGGACGCCTCCATGTGTCAAGTGACTTCCACCAACAGCTGCCTAGTTCAGGGGTGGCCATGGGACAGAGCATGTGCCCCCCCAGCCTTGCTTTATCTAATATACACAAGCTCTGCATAATGTGCAAACTCACAGAGCACTTCATAGCTTATCTATGTAGCCTGGGATTTGTCCTTCAGCTCCCCAGCACCTTGCAGATAGCCAGATAAGTGTTGTCCTAGCCTCCTGTGACCTGTGGAGCACACCCCCCAGGCAGAGAGGTGACCAACTGAGCTCTGAAGGGGAGCGAGATCAGAGTCAGTCTGTCCACCAAAGAGAGCTGGGCTGTTCTGCCTGCCCTCTATGGTTGACCTGTGATGGAAACCACTTTGGGAAAAAGAATTATTCTGTTTCTCCTTGCAAATATAGAGAAGGTTGTCCCAGGCTGGGGATGCAGCACCATATCCTGTCCTCCTGATGTAGTTTCTGTGTGTCAGCCTTATCTATTTACAGTTGCTAATGCTGAAGAAAGTCCCTAATCAGCAGCCTCTCCCATGCTAGCCTTGCCACAAAATAGCTACCTACCGATCCCTGTCTTCCAAAAAAGGGGATAAGTCTTGAAGACAGAAGTGCCAACTCTGCAGCTGTTGACATAACCCATTATGCCAGCCTCCCTTGAAGGCACGCCGCTTTTCCTGACCTTCTAATCAATAGCTGCACAAAGTGCTAGGTATGCCTAGCTAGATATGAGCTATTAGCCCTTAAACCTATCCTAATTGAGCACCTCTAGTGAATGTGTGCTATCCAGTGCACGTCCTCAGCAATCTGGTAGTAAAGAGGGTTGCAGCATGTCCCTGACTGCTGGTGCCTGACCAGGGGACTTGTCTGGGAAGGGTGATGCTTGCAGGTCAGTCTCTGCACTGTGTGCTTGGGATGGAGGGCTCTGCCCAAGCAGCAGGCAGCTTCCCAGCCTCCTTGTTCCAGGCTCTGGTAAAGAATGCTCCCCACATGCAGCAGTGAAAGATGGAGGCAGCTGAGGGGTGGGGGGCAGTGGTGGTGTGCTGGATGGGTGCTCTAGCAGCACTAAGAGACCCCAAACCAGGGAGATCGTAGAATCACAGAACGGCTTGAGTTGGAGGGGACCTTAAAGCCCACTCAGTTGCAGTCCCCTGCTGTGGGCTGAGGCTGTGCAGCATGCTGTCCAGGCTGGCCTTGGGCACCGCCTGGGATGGAACATCACAGCTGCTCTGCTTAACCATGGGCAGCCTGCTGTCCAGGCTCCAAAGGCCAAAGTGCTTTCAGCCACATGGCACGGTAGGTGAACAGTTCACCCAAGGAGGATTTCCTGACACTTCATCACTGGCAGATGGTTTCATCTAGTATATTGTGTTGCCCTGCAAACTGAATCAGGACTGAATCAGGAAGTTAAAATCTTACACTGAAGCCAAAATGCTGCCCTTGCTGTCCCGGCAGAGCTGCAGTGACATCTAACTACCTACTAACAGCTGATGAGCATGGAACACAAATACAAGCAGGAAGAGCCCATAGCAAATAGCAAAGCAACAGGCACCTGCAAACTGCAGCCTCTACGGGGAGGAACCACCTTCTGACAGTATGTCTCATGAATACCAAATTCCTGGTGGTGTCAAAGGCCCTTGCTGTGAAGGGGAGATGAAGATGGAAGCAAAGGTGACAGGAATTCACCTGCAAAGCCCTCTAACTCCTTGGACAGTCACTGATAGTAGGTTTGGCTTTTCTGTGTACTTGTAGGATTTTTTAACTGACAGTGGCTGAAGTAACATTCTTTTACGTGCATCAGAAGTGTTCTCTGCTCAGGCCATAGCGAGTCATTATGTGACTATGGACAAGACATCAGTTGCTGTAAGGAGGCAACAGAAATTTAAATACTTTATTTTAGATAGATTGTGACCAGCATGCACAAGATTCACTACAGCCTTCAGCAGCACAGCAAGACACCAAGTCTTCAATACAAGTAGGAAGAAAATATGATGCACCTGGGCACTGTTTCTCTATTAATTTTGGATTGCTTCCCATTCTGTGCTCAGTTAGAATAGTACTGTCCTTTTCCATGGGAAGGACTGTTATTAACTGCTGTGCTCTATGATTCTTCCTATCAACTCTGTTGATCTCAGGGCTCAGCTGGCTTCTGTTTTCTGTTCAAGGTGCAAAGTCATTTCCAGCACTGTGCTGCTGAGGCAGAATCTGTCACTCTTGCCAAGGTCCGTACGTAAGTAAATTTAGGCAGAGCTGTTTTCTCTGCACACATTCACACTGGTGCCTCTGCTTGAAATATGCAGTTTGCTACTCTTGCTTGCACAGCTCCTTAACTTTCAGGAAATAAAGAGTTTTCTTGTGCGTTGTCATGCTGAGGTATTTTCACTGATTTCTCTCCATCTGGAAGCACGTAGCCTTTTCCAGAAGAAACTCCAGCTTTCAAAGCATCTGGCCAACTTTGGGTTTTGTAGTAAGTCGATAAGACATCAAAGACTGTTGGGAACAAGAAGATGTACCATGCTCTCATACTGTTACAAAGGCAGGCTGTAATAATCCTCCCCTAGCTGAGAAATATCAGGCGATGCCAGAGGAAAGTAGCGTGGAGCTTTTCTCATGAACAAACGTGTGAAGTAGCTTATCTGAGAGAAGATAATGTGTTTTAATGATGACTCTGTGAAGCTGACTGGGGAAAGCAGAGGCTTTCTCAACCAAGCAAGCTGCCTCCAGTTACCCTGCTGGGTGCCATGCCTTGCTTTGATTCAGATTGACACAGGCCTGTCTTCCCTTGCCTGGAACCTTAAGCGACTTCTAGTAACAGCACACTCCTTGCACTGTTAGTTGTTCTGTGCAAAGCTGGAGTGCTGTAGCCCTGCTCCTCTCAGAAAAGGCCAGTATAGAAAAACAAGACTTTTAACACGGCAGTAGCAGGCACAAGGCCTCACAAAACAAGTGCCTGCTATCACAGTTTCCCCCACTACTCATTATCATGCTTCCATTACTGATGACTCTTCAGGATGCAATAGCCTCAGCCACCCGGGAAGCAGGCAGGACACAGCTCAGCCCCTCACCTTGATTAATTGCCAGTGTCTCCGAGTAGTAGTTCTTGGTGTTCGTGGATTTTACCATATACTCACGAATTGGGAGGCGGGCTGTATGCAGGGACTGCTCTCGTGCCCTTTGCAGGGTCAGGTTCTGCAAAGGAAGCAAGGGCAAGTTACACAACAGGCACATCAGAATCATATAATCACCAAGGCTGGAAAAGACCTCCAGAATCATTCAGTCCAACAGTTCACCTATCACCAGTATTTCCCACTAACCCTCACTACAACATCTAAACATTTCTTGAATACTTCCGGGGATGGTGATGCCAGCACCACCCTGGGCAGCTCATTCCAGTGCCTGACTGCTCTCCTGGAGAATTATTTCCTAGTGTCCAACCTGCACCTCCACTGGTGCAACTTCAGACCATCACCTCTCATCACTAGTTCCATAGGAATAGAGGCTAACCCCCACTCACCACAACCTCCCTTCAGGAAGCTGTAGAGAGCGATCAAGTCTCCCCTGAGCCTCCTCTTCTCCAGACTGAACAATCCCAGCTCTCTCAGATGCTCCCCATAAGACCCCTCACATCTCCATTGCCCTTCTCTGGCCAAGCTCCAGGGCCTCAAGGTCCTTCTTGCAGTGAGGGGCCCAACACTGAACACAGCACTTGAGGTGGGGCCTCGATAGGGCTAAGTACAGGGGGCTGATCCCTCCTGCTCCTGCTGGCTGCACTACTTCTAGTACAAGCCAGGATGTCATTGGCCTTCTTGACCACCTGGGCACACTGCTGGCTCATGTTCAGCTAAATGCCAGCTAAAGTACGCAGATCATTCTCCTCTGTGCAGCTTGCCAGCCACTTTGCCCCAAGCCTGTAGCACTGGGCTTGTTGTGGCCAAAGCACAGGTTCTGGCATTTGGTCTTGTTGAACTTCATCCCACTGGCCTCATCCCAGTGATCCATCCTGTCCAGATCCCTCCGGAGGGCCTGCCTGCCCCCAAGCAGATCAACACTTCCTTGCAGCTGGGTGTTGCCTGCAAACTGAGGATGAACTCAGTGCCCTCATCCAGGCCATCGCTAAAGGTGCTGAGCAGAACCCAGTACAGCCCCTGGGAACACCACTGGTCACAGGACACTGGATGGTGCTCCATTCACCACCACTCTCTGGGCCCAGCCCTACAGCCAGCTCCTTACCCAGCCATGAGTGCACCTGTCCAAGCCACGGGCTGCCAGCTTCTGCAGGAGAATGCTGTGGCAGACAGTGCCAAAGGCTTTGCTGTAGTCTATGCAGACCCCTCACCCACCAGGTGGGCCGCTTGATTGTAGGAGATCGGGTTGGCCAAGAAGGATCTGCCTTTCATGAGCCCATGCTGGCTGGGCCTGACCCCCCTGTCGTCCCACACACACTGTGTGATCTCCCTCAAGACAATCTCCTCCATAACCTTCCCTGGCACTGAGGTCAGACCTGTAGTTCCCTGTATCCACCTCATGACCCTTCCTGTAGATGGGAGTCACACTGGCAAGCCTCCAACCCTCTGGGACCTCTCCAGCTGACTGGCAGATGATGGAAAATAGCACGGCAATCACCTCCACTGGCTCCCTCAGCACCCCTGGGTGGATCCCTTCCGGCCCCAGGGACTTGTGGCAGTCCAGGTGGAGTAGTAGGTCACTGCTTCCTCCCAAATTGTGGGGGTTTGCTCTGCTCACCATCCAAGACTTCCAGGACAGGGGGTAGAATACCCCAAGGATAATGGACAGATGCAAAGGCACTGAGAACCTCAGCCTCTTCCTTATCCTCAGTACTCACACTCCCCTCCACACCCAGTAAAGGATGGAGATTCTCCTTGGTCCTCCTCTTACTGTTAACGTACTTGCAAAAAAAAGATTTTCGTTCTCTTTTATCCCAATGGCCAAGTTGAGTTCAAGCTGAGCTTCTGCCTTTCTGATTTTCTCCCTGCACATCCTAAAAACTTCTCTGTACTCTCCCCAAGGTGTCCGTCCATTCCTTCTTCCACAGGAGGAAGATTCTTTTTCTCCTGGAGCCTCAGGAAAAACTCTCTGTTCATCCACACCTGTCTTCCCTGCCAGCTCATCTCTCAGCACAGCAGGACAGCCTGCTCCTTTAAAGACTTTGTCCTTGAGGAGCTTTCAGCCTTCCTGGACCCCTCTATCCTCCAGGGCTGAATCCAATGAACTCTCCTTATAATGTCCCAAACATTCAAGTCTGCCCTCCAGAAGTCCAAGGCAGCAGTTCTGCTGTCCCCTCTCTTGGCTCCACCATCCCATCTACCATTTCATAGTCACCTTAACCTTAACCCTCCCTCTGTCCAAGACAGCTCCTGACCTCCACATCTCCCCACCAGTCCTTCTTTGTTTCTGAATAGCAGGTCTAGCGGGACATCTCCTCTGATAGGTTCTCTCACCAGCTTCAAAAGGAAGTTATCATCTCCCACACACTCTAGAAACCTCCCAGACAGCTTCTTCCACATTGTGTTGTATTTCCAGCATGTACCAGGGAAGGTGAAGTCCCCCATGAGAACAAGGGCTGGCGACCACGCAACTTCTGTCAGCCGTCTGCAGAACACCTCAAGTCTCTTCATGCTGGTAAGGTGGTCAGTAACAGACCCCCACCAGGATGTCCGCCTTGTTGGCCCTTCCCTTGATCCTTACCCACTGGGACTCAATCCTACCATCTCCAGCCCCCAGCTCAACATCAATGAGCTCTCCAACACAGAGAGCCACACCGCTGCCCCCACCCTTCCTTGCCTGTCCCTTCTGAAGAGCTTACAGCCATTCACTGCAGCACTCCAGTTGTGGGAGTGATCTCACCCTGTTTCTGTAATGGCAACTAAATCATAGTTTGCCTGCCACAGAATGGCCACCAGCTCCTCCTGTCTGTTGCCCATGATGATGTGCTGGTGTAGATGCAAATCCATAGCATGCACATCACTTGTGGAACATGCAGCTGTGAGCCTGGAAACTGTAGGAGGGTTGATTTCACCAGACCATTCTGGCCTCAGCCTGGTGCTGGAGCCAAGCAGAACCTTGGGGTTCTGTGGGAAAATGGATAGTGACACAACAGCAATGGTTCCAAGCAGCAACTGTGACTGCTGCCACTCGGATGTCTCTGCTCCCAGTCAAGAGTGAGGCAGACCAGACCTTCAGGTTTCAACAGCTTTTAACCCACCTTATGTATACTTTCATCCACCAGGCCTCCGAGGACGTACACTTTTTTGGGATCAATATCTTCAAGGACTAGAAGAAGATAAGCACATGCTCTTGCAACAGTAAAATCATGCACTGCACCATTCTTCAGGAAAGGGCCATCTTACACAGGGAAGCCCAAGCCGCCGTCACCCTTCACCCTGCCTGCAGGAAGCTGAGGCTTCTAAGGCAGCAGCATCTGCCTGAATCTGCTGGCAGTGTGACAAGGCAAGAGCAGATGTGGGCTGGAAGCAGAGTGCAGATGCAGCTCTAGAGGCAATGCACTGCTCCTTTCATCGTTGTCCTGGTGAGTGCAATCCTAACCTGCCCCACAGGCCCTCCCTACCGCCAAGGTCACCTGTGGAAACCTCCCCCCACCTCTGCCAGATCCTTATCAGAGCTGACCCTTAAACCAAGAAAAGGATCAGTGTCCCCACAAACACGTGGCCAGGTTAAAAATGGAGAAAAAGGAGAAAGTCAATTACAGCAGCAAATGAACCAATAAAAGGAGCGGCGCAGACATCACATCATTTCAAAGAAAGATGCCCTTCACACCACGTACACAACCACCACATCTCCACTTCTCTGCCAGCAGGATAACAATCTGCAGGCATCTAGAGAGTTTTTGCATTGTGTTTGCTGCAGATGGATGCAGCCCTCACACAAAACCTCATTTCTTCCCAGAACAGACTGATGCGGGAGTACGCTGAGCATCAGGTCTAAGAGAAGCCTTCCTCAGGTAGTGAGAGAAAGGGAATGATTGGAACTGAACTACGTGATGCATGAGAAACTCCTAAAAATAACGTCTAGAGGATCAATCTTTGCCTCCATTCCCTTCAGGCAAGTGAAACACTTACCGTTGTCAGAGTCAGGAGTGAGATAAACAATTGCATCCAAAGGGAACAGATCCAGGTAGCTTTCTTGAGTCGTATCCATCTGAAAAACACAGTACAGTGAGAAAAGCCCGTGAGCCACAGTCCATCTGCCACCCGCCCCAGCCCAGACAGAAGCGCTCCAGAACCAACAGCACTGATTTGGGTGTTCATTGCCTACAGCTAAAGGCAGAATAGTGGAACCGAGATGCCTTTTTTTTTTTTTTTCATTGAGAATAAATAGCTTAAGAACCATTAAATTCTCTCCTCGTGAAAATCTCTAGATGTGCTTTTAGGTAGTTATGGTGTATCTTTCTCCTTTTAAATAAGACTGCAACACCTGAGAGACTCAGGAACCTCGCAGTCATTAAGGCTGGAGAAGAGCCATCGCCGAGCCCCCCTCAGCCCCCCCGCCGTGCCAGCGCCCTTACCAGGTATCCGGAGAAGCCGTCGTTCATGCGGAGGCACTCGCGGTGGATGGGCGACCCCGGCACCAACTCGGTCAGGTAGAGCCAGAAGGGCCGCTCGGCCCGCCTGTTAGCGCCGTACAGCCGGCGGATCTGCGCTGCCAGCCGGCTCGTCTCCTTCCGACAGAGCGGAGCGCCGCGTCACGGCGGCCCCGGGGCGCAGCGGGGCTCCCGAGCGGCGGGCCGGCACTTACCTTGGGCGTCATGCGGTCGGCCACGCCGAGATCCACGCACAGCCGCGGGCCCGCCGCGCGGGCATCCAGGAGCCGCTCCTCCGCCAGGGCCCTGACACGCTGCCGGGCGGCTCCTGCGGGGCACAGCGCGGAGGGCAGCCCGGCCCTGCCCTGCTCAGCCCTGCCCCGCCCGACCCTGCCCGGCCCGTCCTCGCACCCCGCGCCAGCTCACCTCGGCCCTCGGGTCGCCGCGCTCTGTTCCGCTCCCGCTCCTGCGGCCGCCGCCGCCGCCGTGCCGCCAACACGCGCTCCCAGCGCCTCCGCTTCCGCAAGACGTTCCTCTGCAGGGCGGCACGGTCAGGCTCGGGGACGTCGCCGCGGCCCCCGCTCAGCTCCGTCCCGCCCCGCCCCGCACGCACCGAGCACGGGGCCTCGCCGAACCCCGTCGGCCCGAGCCGCAGCACCGCGAGCGCCCCGCGTGCCGCCTCCATCTCCGCTTCCAGCTCCACTGGCGCGGCTTCGGCTGCCGCGCTACCGCCCTCCATCGCCGCCGCGGGGCGGGACGGGGCAGGACGGGGCGGGGCCGGCTCGGCTCGGCCTCCCGGCTCGGCCCCCAGCTGCGCTCCGCGGCGGCGACGGAGGACAGCCATGAGCGGCTCCCGGCTGTTGCGCGGCCTGCCCGTGAGTACGGGAACCGACCGACTGACAGACCGACAGACCGACCCCGCCGCGGGGCCGTTTCCTCCCTGTGTCCCGTGGCCGTGCTTTGTGTGTGTATGTGTGCAGCTGTGGGCCGCCTCCCGCAGGCTGTGCTGCAAAGCCCCGGCACTGCTCGGTGCGCAGGAAAAGCCCTCCGGCCCCGCGCCGTCGCCCCGCCGTGCTTTGGTTCGGCTGTGTTGCCTTCCTGCTTAGTGCTTTCATGCTGGTCGGTTCTCCCGTGCTGCGGTCCCGTTGCGCGCACGGACGCTGACCTCGCTCCGCTCTTCGGTTCTCCCCGTTACTCACTGACGCTGTGGCAGGACACGGACATTTCTGGAACGGCCCTGGGCTGGCAACCAACTGCATCCGCTGCTGCGCGGCCAGCAGGGCTGGTAGCCATCAAACATAGCCACGTGTCTGCACGGACTGCAGGAGGCAGCTAGTGTGAGCACCGAGCCTTTCTTCCCCATGGCTTCGGTGTGACAGTGGTATTTGCTTTACTTCGGTGGCCCGAATCTGGAGCCGCTTCCCCTCCTGCAGGAGGGAGACCAGCTTTCTTGGAGTGAGATGTATCAGAGAAGAAAAAAAAATAATCCTGAATCCTGTAGTGCTGCCAGCCACCGCAGAAGGAAAATTTCTTAGGGTTCAGGTTCAGTGGTGGTGCAGAACGAAGGCCCGCAATCAGCCAGGACTGCATGCAGCCCAGTCCACCCTCTGACATGGGCATGCAGGAAGGCGAGGCTCATGCAGGCCCGCTGTCTGCCCCGTAGCACAGTGCTAGGCCAGAAGCAAGGCTGGGTTTTCTTTCCCGTGTGCCAGCTGCCCTGCCAGCAGAGCACAGAGGGATGCAGGCACCCGCAAGTCCTGCCACAGCACCTGAGAAACAGTCTTCCCTGACCCCAGGGTGATGGATGTCCTTCCGCATAACAGACTTTCCCCCCTCCTCTCCCAGCAGCATCTTCCTTTCCTGGCCTCCGGGGGACTCCTGAGAAGGCCCCCTGTGGCAGCCCAGCGCCATGCGTACAGCACCAAGGATGACAGCTCTGTCAGACCTATTGGGCGATACCCAGTGCCAAATAAGAAGGACATGCCGTATGATATCGTGGAGCTCATGGAGGAAGTGGAAGTGAAGGTAAAAAGCTCTCGTGCAAAATTTTGTCAGTGGCAGACATCCACTGACATACGTTGTCGGAGACCAGTGCTGGGCCACTTGGATACTTAGATGTCTTAGCTTTGCTGCACTGCAGCAATCTCAGGGAAGTTTGCATATGAGCAAAAGACAAATACAGTGTAGTGAGGAAGAGTGAGCACTGATTTCAGATGCAGTGAAGGTTCAGAACAGAGCAGTGGATGGGATCAAATCAGCACAGAAGACTTGGGATTCCAAACAGTGCTGCCAAGAGGTTCCTAGACAAACCATTGAGCCATGGATTAAAGGGAAGGAGCCTCCCCATAGTTAATTAATAACTAGCACAGGTGTGAGGCAGGAGGAATGTACTGGCTCTTGTTCGTGAGAGGAGACTGCTGGAGGAGGCTGTTACACTTGAGCTAGGCTGTCTTTTCAGAACACCTTCCAAACAGCAGCATATAGGCTGGCGGGGCCTGCGGGCAAATGGAGTAATCACAACAAAAGTGGAATTTGCAGAATTGCAGTGGAATCTCGCATGCCTGGCCATCAGGGTGACTGAAATCCTGCACTGAGTGCAACAGCACTGTGCCAGCACACACCTCCAGGGTGTGCTTGTACCTCAGACAGCATGCTGTTTGGCTTGAGTTGACTGTCTCACATCCTGTAAACGTGAAAGGAAGAGGAGAGCTCCAGGAACGGTTAGCCAAAGGGTCGTAGCAGCTGTTGTGCAGAGTTGGAGCAGATTACAATCTTTTGGTTTGGAAAGGATTTTGTCATGATGCCTGAGGGCTGTATGACTGTGGTCATTGCTGGCATGGCTGAAGTGATCAGGGCTGCAAGAAACTGCAGCAGTGCTTAATTAAGGACAATATTATTGCATGATTTTTAGTCATGTGTACAAATAGGCTCAAAGTCCAAGGAGACTGGGTCTGTGGAGATTCCCTAGGACTGCAGTGCAAACTACTTGTTCTCTAAGCCTAATGTGTGAATGCGGCCTGCTGTGCTCCATGTTAAGTTGCAACTCTTGACTGGTTTCTCCTTTTCCTTGAACAGACTGGATTTCTGCCCAACGTGTTCAAAGCCATGTCTCACCGGCCTGCTGAATTCAGAGCTTTTTTTGCTTATTACAATGTCATCATGAACAAAGAGACAGGTAAACCATATACAATCGCCCCAAAATTGCCCTTTCCTCTATAGATGTAAAAAATGCTGGAACCAACTTCTCTGACATTCTCAGGTTTATTTCCTCACCATTGTTTATCCCAGCTCACAGCTCATAGTTAAGAAGCAGCCCGTGAGAATAGCTGAGCTACCTTATGACACTGTGCTCTGCATCACAACAAAGGAAGGACAGGCTGCTTCCTGAGGGAAAGTGGGTCAGGAGCTGAGGGCAGGCACAGGCATCAGGAATAATGCTGCAGTTTCACACCGCTTGAGCAAAGTGAGCACAGTAGGTCTGCCAGTGGTGAGCATGCTCTGCCAACAGTCCAGATTTCCTAGGTAAGGCCTAGTGTCTGGTCCAGGATCCACATCAGCATGGTTACACAGCCAGGCACTGCAGCCATATAGCTTGGGCTAAGGCCCTAACACAGAGACAGCTCCCTGGGGGAGGGGAGGTGTTCCAAAGCTATTGCTCAGGCTTCCTCCAGCTCTTTCTTCATGATAAGCCTTACCTGCGAGCTCGCCATGAGCCAGATGCAAAAGTCGCCAGAGGGTATGTTTGCTGGGCCCTGACAGGCTCTGCTGTGGATAGGATTCCAAATGCAGGTAGTTCTCTGTATCCTGTAGACACAGAAAGAAGACTGTTCTGCTTTCATATACATGGACATCTGTACAGCAGGTCTTTAGCAACCGACGGAACTGGGGATGTTCAGTCTGGGGAAGAGCAAGCTGAGGGGAGACCTTATTGCTCTCTTCCAGCATCTGAAACGTACTTACAGAGTTAGTCTCTTCTTACTAGTGACAGGTGAAATGGCCTCAAGTTGCACCAGGGAAGTTTAGGTTGGATATGAGGAGATACTTCTTTACAGAAAGGGTTGGTAAGCACTGGAATGGGCTTGGTGCTTGAGTCACCATCCCTGGATGTGTTTAAAATCCATTTGGATGTGGTGCTCAGGGACATGATTTAGCAGAGGGTTGTTAGGGTAGGATGGTTGGGTTGTGGTTGGACTGGATAATCTCGAAGGTCTTTTCCAACCTGAGCAATTCTATCATTCTGTGATTCAGGTGGCCTCCAGGTGTCCCTCGAGTATGGGAGGGAGGGAGGTTGCAGCAGTGCATCTGGGGAAGGCTTCATGCAGGGAATGCTGCACGGTGTTTGAGCCTTTCAGAAAACATTTGAGGACTGCTTGTTCCTCCCTCCTGCTTCCTGTGCTGTGGGTCACTGAGCAGCTGGTTCTCACTGCTTGTGTTGTAAGGGTCTTACATCAGTAAGATCTGCGTTCTGTAAAACAAGCTGCTGAGCAGACTGCTCCTTAGCCTTAAAGTAGATGAGAGCTTGCAGGGAGAGTCCTTGTGGGCAGCAAAGTGCAACTTTTTGTTTCTTTCACTGTGATATGCACAGGTTATGCATGAAGGTTTCTGCTCTGCTTGCACTGCTGAAGTGAAGCCCAAGCTATACAAGGGTCTTTTTTCTGCTCTCATTCCTGTGCTGCTTTTTGACTGACTCTGGAGAGTCACATGGAACTACCTGGCATCACACCCTTTTCAGCACTTACCCTGAAGTATCAGGAGTTGCCACTTTCTATAACTGAACTGTGTCAGAGCAGGAAGTTCTCTTCCCCTAAAAGGTTTTAGTAGTATTTTTCACTGTCATGGAAGATACTTGTCCTGTGCAAATATTTAATATCCTTCAGTGTGAACTCCGGTTTCAAGAAATACTGTTTCTAATGATCTGATAAAAAGGCAGAGTATAAGAGCTGACGTCGAGGTAAGGTAAGTTCCTCAGGTGCTGTGGACAGTCTTGTTGTGAAGCTGTTTGTGAAAATGATTAGTACTGATTCCAAGTATAACAAAGCACAGCCATCTTCAAAGATTCTTTGGAGAATCACTTAAAAAGTTGTGTTTCATCTGTGTGGTGGTCACTATTAGTTCTCAGAGGCACAGTCCTAGGGTACCTCATTGTTCCTCTGTACTTCCTTCTCTGCCTTCAAAAGCTGCAGCGTTTTCTTGCTTGAAACATGATTTTAGAACATTGCAGTAGAGTTATTATTACCCCAATGTGTTCCTTATCCTAATGAGATGCCTCCCAAACAGTGATCCAAGTTAACTGATGCTCTGGATCTGTGGTTGAAGTCTCCTCGTGTGCTTTAAGGAACTCTGGCCATAGTGCCTGCTGCCTGTCCCCAGAGACCTGTCTTCCGTGTTGCCCCAGCAGTACTTGCTGCCATGGATGTTTTTGCTAACAGAGTGAGCTAAATCCTTTTCTGTCTCTGTAGGGCGACTCAGCAAAGCGGACAAGGAGCTCATCATTGTGGCCACAAGTGCTGTGAACAGATGTCCCTACTGCGTGGTTGCACACGGGGCGCTTCATCGGATATATTCCAAGCAGCCGACGCTGGCTGACCAGGTCAGTGGAGCACTGTTCTTTTGGGGAGTAGGGATGATGTTCTCAAACGTATCTCTCCTCGCCTCAAGCTGTGACCATTAAGTCTGTGTGGCTCCCAGCGAGAGCAGAGAGAATCACAGCATCACAGAATTATTAGGGTCGGAAAAGGCCACTAAGATCACAGAGTCCAGCTGCCAGCCCATCCCCACCATCCGTCAGTGCCGCAGTTCCTGAGCACATCTGGGGATGGTGCCGACTCCAGCACGCCCTGGGATCACCCTTCTGACAGCTGACCGCTCCTTCGGAAAAGAAATTCTCCCCGGTGCCCACGGAGGGACTGACGCTGTGCTCTGCCTCCTCTCAGGTCGTGGTCAACTGGGAGCTGGCGGACCTGAGCAGCCGGGACCTGGCGATGTTGGAGTTCGCCCTCGCAGTCTGCCGTGCAGATAACATCACGGAGGAGCACTTCCAGAAGCTGGAAGCGCACGGATTTGACCGCGAAGACGCGTGGGACATCGCCACCATCGCCGCCTTTTTTGCCATGTCCAATCGCATCGCCCATTTTGTCGATTTGCGCCCCAACGAGGAGTTCTACAACATGGGCCGGACGCCCCGCGAGGCGGGCAGGGACGGCGCCTGAGGCTGTCTTGCGGCACGGTTCCCTCGCGTTGTTTCGAACGTATATAAAAGCAACGAATGCCGATGGCGGCCGCGAGTCTCGCTGCTTCTTCGCTTCTCTTCAGCGCCGGAGCGCGGAGCGCCGCCTCGGCCTGCTCGGGGTGACCCGCGTGCGGTACGCGCTGCAGCCGGAAGGGGGCGCCGCGGCCCGGAAGGGGGCGCAGGCGCAGGCGCGGAGGGCGGAGGGAGGCGGGAGGCGCGGCCCGGCGATGCCCGGCCCGGGCGCGGAATGAGCGCGGAGGCGGCCCAGGCGGGGTCCCGCGCCGGCACAGCGGCCCCGGGGCCCGGCCCCGGCATGCGGCCGCCCTCCGCCGCCCTCTCCCCGCGGACGGCGCCGGATGGCGGCGGTCTGTTCGGTTGGCTGCGCGGGCGCTGCCTGGGCCGCAGCGCCGCCGTGGACCCGGCGCGGGACAGCTTCCGCGCCATGACCGGGCTGTACGGCTCCATCCAGCCCGCCGACTCCGTGTACCTCAGCACCCGCACGCACGGCGCCGTCTTCAACCTCGAGTACTCTCCGGACGGGTACGGGCCGCGCCCCGCTCCCCGGCCGTCGCCCGGGCCCGGCGCTCCGCGTCCCGCCTTGCGGCGCGGCCTTTGGCTGGTCTCCTGCTCTGCCGGCCTTTGGGGCGGCTCTGGAACAGAGCTGTCCTGGTCGAGGTCTCGGGGGGCTGCAGCACCTCCCCTGTGAGGACAGGCTGAGGGAGCTGGACTCGTTCAGCCTGGAGAAGAGAAGCTGCGGGGTGACCTCAGTGCAGCCTGCAGTACCTAAAGGGAGCCTAGAGACAGGAGGGGAGTCAGCTCTTGGAAAGGGGAGATGGCAGCAGGACAAGGGGAAATGGTTTGAAGCTGAGGGAGGGCAGCTGGAGGTTGGGTGTCAGGGGGAAGTTGTGTGCTGTGAGAGTGGTGAGGTGCTGGAACAGCTGCCCAGAGAGGCTGTGATGCCCCGTCCATCCCTGGAGGTGTTGAATGGGGCCCTGGGCAGCCTGGTCTAGCATTAAATGGGGAGGTTGGTGGCCCTGCATGTGACAGGGCGTTGGAGCTTCGTGATCCTTGAGGTCCCTTCCAGCCCTGGCCATTCTGTGATTCTCTGAGGTTTCTCTGGTGCTCCCTGGGATGGGAGAGGCGCCGGCAGCCCGAAAGGTCTGTTCAGGAAAGTGTGTGTAACTGCAGCCTGCTGTGCGGTTTCACAGTGGGCTTCCTTGGCAGAAAGGCTTTCCGTCTCACATTGAGCTCAGTGGTGTTCTCAGTCGCACCTGAGATCTGTTACCTCTGCTGTAGCTTAACATTATTTTTCATGCAAGTTTCTGGCGTGAGAAGTTCTGCCTTCTTGCTGTCCCCTGTGCGTCTGCTGTTTGTGAGGCTGCGCTGTGGACTGAGCCACAGATCTTGTCTGAAAATAAGCCCAGCAGTGGCACGGGGATGTCTCCCCTGACTCGGCCTCTTGTTGGCTGGCTGGCATGCTCTCAGCAGGCCACAGGTGGTGTTAGGCAGAAGATAGCAGCCTGGCCTTAAGGTCAGTTGGAACAGCTCAGACCTCGTTTACTTTTGTGGTGGTTCGATTCAACTCAGCAGTTGCAGAGCAGTCGCAGACCTTCTCTGACCTTTGGTCACTTGGGATTTCTTTGTAGCCTTCCTCAGCAGAGCTGGCTGTAGTGAGCAGAGCTGCCTTCCTGTTCTCTGCCCGTTCTCTTGCTGACACAAAGCAGTGCTCTGAGCTGAGGACCAGGATTGTACCTGTGAGCTGTTTGTTTGGCACTAGTGAGATCTGCCCCATGAGCCATAACAATCTGAGTTGTTGCGCCGTTGGGGGAGCATCTTAGCTTTCCTGGAGGTTGCCTGCACTAATTTAGCAGGGCAGGCTTAACTGTCACTGTAGTGATGGTGTATCAGACTTTTCCAACACATATAGAGCAAATAAATATTGGTGCTGTAGGACAGGCTGGACAGCCTTCCCAAACTGGATGGCTGATGTTTCTGGTGCCTGCGTCCTGGTGTTTGGGACCTCAGAACTCACTGTGAACTTCTTAATGATCTGATGCTAAATCTAGACTGGTGCCTGTGCCTTCCTCTTGTCTTTGGCCAGTAACAACACTGCTGTATCTAGAAAACACTTTTTGTCAGAGAACTCCCTTTTCTTTGTGCATTAGTATTGTGTCTGACTGTGATCCCTTACAGTACTGCTGTGATGTGAAGAGAAGCCAAGCTAAATAATGTTGAAGTTATGTTTCCATGAATCTTAGATCTGGAAGTTTGCTGTGCGTGTGCGGGCGTTGTGTCCGTTCGTCAGATGCAAGTGTTAATGTTTTGTTCTCCCCTGCAGGTCTGTGCTCACTGTTGCTTGTGAACAGACTGAAGTGCTGCTTTTTGACCCAATATCTTCAAAGCACATCAAAACTCTCTCTGAAGCTCATGAAGATTGTGTAAATAATATCAGGTTGGTGAAAAGGAGGAAAAGATATCATTTTTCTCTTACTGCAGTTACTTCTCTATTAGAATCACAGGAACTTCTGTAATCTACAGAATAAATAATAAATAATAATAAGAGTGCAGTAAGTTTGCATTGCTTTGGGTAGAGTGGTTTTTTGTAGCTGTTAGGCTGCATTTGTGTTGCTTTCTTTCTGCATTGGAGGCTGCATAAGGCTGGGAAGGGAAGGAGGAGAAATCTGAAAGTAGTGATGGTGGTATGTAATGCTGCCAGGTGTTCTTGGTGGAAAAGCTGCAGTTCGTGGTGGGAGAAGGGTGTTGCAGTACTGCTGTCTGATTTAAGTGGCCTATGGAGTGAATGAACACTAAACATATAGTGAGTATGCATGACTTCTGTTTGGAGTGCAGGTTCAAAACTGTAGCGAGAGAAGGTGCTCGTGTGAACATGGTTGGTATTTTGATTTGTAAGAGTAATTGCCTTAGCTGTGTGGAAATGTCCAAAGTTTGGGTTCTTAAAGAACAATTACAGCATAGAAGAGCCAGAAAATTGAAATGGCTTCTGTGGTTTGAGTGAATCTCAGCAGTTACGTCATAAGTCATGTGGGTGTTTCTCAAGATGCAGTAGGAAGCAGCAAACACAGGAATCTGAATTATCTGTCTGTTTGTCGTGTGATGTTTTTCCTTCTTAATTCTGTTATTTTTACTTCTTCTTTGTCTGAGGATAGACTTTCGCACGTGAATTTGTTCTCGAGACGGTTTTGTGACCTGGTGAATGACACTGCTGCCTCTTTCACTCCTCAGAGCAAACAGGCAGCATTCTGAGCATTTCCCTCCTGCAAAGAGCCAAATGAAATGTGAGGTATTGATGCCTTCACGTGTTCTTTAGGCACAGAGATGTTTTTCACAAAGCACCCATCATTTTTAATAGAGGCTGAAATTTTACATCAGTTGCATGTCTGTCAGGAAAGCCGAGGTGAGAGCTACCTGGCACAAACAAAAGAGGTAGAGAGAACGTGCTTTTCTGTGATGGAAATGCAGCTTTTTCCTCTGTCTTTGTAGGACGTTGGTGTCCTGTGTTTTCCTGGATGTCTGCATTTCTTATCATAAGCTTAGCTACAAGCAGGCTCGCTTTGTTCTGTAGAACTTGGTTGGTGCAGCACTACGGACATCCATTGTAACTTTCCTTATAATTGTTGAGTTGTGCAGGCTGGAAGAAAACCTTTGGGATCATCAGGTCCAGCTGTCAGCCTGGCTGCTGAGCTCCTCACTAACCTGCCTCTTTGTGCCAGGTCCGTACATCTGAAGCACCTCTAGGCTTAGGGTCTCCACCACTTTCTGGGCAGCCCATTCCAGCCCTGTAAATATATGAAGGGGCACCCTGTGCCAGATGCCTTCATGCATATGTCAGAACAGGGAAGTATGTACTGGTGTCTTCCATCACCTTTCCCTGTGCTGAGGATGTGCGTATAATCACATAAAGTAGACGTGTTTTGCATGTGGATTTAGTCAATTTTTGAGCTGATTTAAGTGTAGTTGTTGCCCTTTTCATGTCAGAATTCCAGAAGTGTTCTTCTGGTCAGACCTAAGAAGGTTTTGAAGACTTGCTAGACTGAGGCCCTCTGTTTTATGCTTGTTGTTGTTCTTTAAACAGCAGAGACAGTGGACCATTAATCTCTATATAACTTTCTCTCTGGCAGTTGGTTTTATGTGACTGAATCATATGCACCTTCTGTTAAGACTTCATCAATTGAAACAACCTGTCTACTTTTTCATTCCAAACTAGTTGTAACTCCCCAAGTCTTTTCCGTTTCTTCTGAAACCTATTTGTGGTGTATGAAACAAGGCTGCATGCAGCATTCGAGACCAAAGGAAATGGTAGATTTGTACAGTAGAAGAGATGTAGTTCATTTCACTCTCTTCTTAAAAACTGCTGGCTTTTGTTTGTTTTTTGTGTTTTTTCCTTTCCTTATAGCTACTTGGCATTGAACAGGCATGTTGCTGTTGTGTTTTAACACTGCTGGGTAGCCAGCTGCTCTCACTCCACCTCAACAGTAGAACAAGGGGAGAAATAAAAGAGTTTGTGTGCTGAGATAAGGAAGGGGAGCTTGCTCACCAATTATTGTCGTGGACAAAACGGGTTCATCACGGAAAGGATACATTTATTGCCAGTTAATAACAAACTAGAGCGATGAGAACTAAAGGCAAACTAAAACCACCTTCCCTCTGTATCCGTTGTCTTCTGTCTGCTCCTCAAGCAGGGCAAGGGAGTGAGGAACATGGCAGTGGTCAGCTTCATCTGTGCTGCTTCTCTGTGGCCACTCTGCCCCTAGTCCTTTGCTGTCCTTCCCAGGAGGCTACAGCTCTCCAAATGCTTCTCCAGTACATAGCTCCATCTCTCAGAGGTGGAGAGCTGCTCTGGCACAGTTCTGCTGCAGGCAGCAGCTCCCGCAGATCTCTGCTGGACCACAGGCTCTGCTCTGTGAGCTGCAGTTCCAGCTCAGGATCTGCTCTGTGCGATCCTCTGTGGCTGCAGGAACTTCTGGAACGCACCCTGCTGTCCTGCTCTCATCTTGGTGGCTGCAGGGCTGCCTATCTGATAAACTTTGATTTCTGTAATGCAAGCCAAATAATTTTACCTGCTGATTTTCTCAGCCAAGTAACTTCTCTCTAAATATTCTTTCAAAATGAAGCTTTTTGTTCACTTGGTGTTTTTGAATATAGACCTGCTTTGTCTTCAGTACGCTTCTGACTCAGTTTGTTTCCTAGTAGTGATTAGTGCTGAGTTTTGTTCTTCTACCTTTTTGTGCGGTAGTCTTTATGTCAGGTACAAAGGCAGTCTTATGTGCTATTTCAGTTTGGAGTGATAGCTTGCATTCAATTTTATCTGGAGTCAGGATGGTCAGGATAAAGAAATGCCACCTGATCATATTAAGACCTTAATCTGGTAAATGCATTAATCCTGCTAGCGTGACCCAAGTTCATTCCCACTTTCTCATCTTCTTACATGACATTGTGACAAGCCTGTTATCTTTGAGGTGAGCAAGATCTCCAGACCCATGAAATGCAAAATGTTTGGTGTGCTTGGAGCACTGCACGTGGGATACACGTTCATTCCTGCATCAGGGAGTGGAGCAGAACTACTCTTTGGTGCATCAGTGCTTTGCAAATATCTTGTGAAATACTAAGCACTACACCTCTGATTCTTGCAGCATCTTAACAGAATGTTGCATTTGTATTGCATGTCAGAATTTATTCTCTAATGCACATCTGCAGTGAAGGACTCAGTAAGCTTGGGTAGCTTGTGTCACATCTGCAGTTATTTCCAAAAACAGTATTTTTGATACCTGCTTTTTTTATTTGAGAAGCACAATTGCATGTCTTTCGATTCAAATACACGAGCTGTACTGAGAGTAAAGGAAAATAGGAGCAAAAGCCTCTTCTTTGTCTATGGAGATTGTTGAGACTGCTGCAGGTGGTAGGTAAAGTTATGGGATGCAGCAGGCTTACTCAGCTCAGTCCCCAGGCTCTGCAGCTGGCAGTGAGCAGTGTCCTAAGGCTTTGTGAAGCCAGGTGAGCTCTCAAGCAAAAGATGTACAAAGAAGGACTGAAATTTAGGTAAGGTCCTTGGGTAGTAAGCAAATAATAGCTGTGTTTAGATTTTAATCTCATAATATCCAACACAGCAGTACTGTATGTAGTGTAAACCACATGATTAGGAGAAGAAGCCCAGTGTAGGACAGTTAACTCCATTAGTTCTCTCAGAAAAGAACTGTTAAACACCCCGTGTAAGACATTAAGGCCAGTGTTCCAGTGTGTTCAGGGCAGGTGTGTGGTTGGTCTCAGCAGTCTGCACAGAGTTGTAGTCATGTCACAGATAAGTTGGAAAGGGTATCTGGAGATCATCTGACCCAGACAAGAAATGAATAGAAAAGCAGGGTATTGGGCTTGTTTCCAACCTGTTCACCAGCATGCTGGGATGGCGACCCCAGTTCTCCATGCAGCTCAAGAGGCCACTTTTCAAAATGGGCACCTGACAACCAGCTTCTGTCACAAGCCCTGTGGTGAGGGCTGTGTTCTGCCTGCTGTTGTGAAGTCAGGATCTTACGAGACATTTCGGACATGACTGGCTCAGTCGGGTGCCATGTGAAGTGAAGACAAGCCTTCCAAAGCGAGGAGGAGTTTGGAGGTTTGTCTAAAGCTGGTGGGCTCAAAGTGTTTCAGCAAAACCAGTGGCCAGTAAGGGATTTCCAGTGGGAATAACAAAAAGTGCCATTTGTTTCAAAAATGTGGTCTCAGCAAAAGAAACTGAAGTGTGTGGTGGGGAGAAGGAAGAAGTTGTGAAGAGCGCTAGGGGAAGAGTGAGGGTAGGTGTGTGGATGGAGATGAAGAGAGTCAAGAACGGGTCTTGATTTCTTACAAACTGATAGGATTTTGTGTGGTCTGAAGCATGCCTGTCATCTGTGTTTTCTGATGTTGCTCCTTCTCAGTAGCAAGGGGATCTGGTAAATGCTGGGGAGGTGAAAGGCATAAGGGGCCGCCAGATCAGTCACTTTGAGCGTATTCCCAGGGACCTCAGAGCTGGCTGCTCTTAGAACATTTGTGCTTTATAAAGACTTTCTGAGTTCCAGTACAGGTGAGTACTGTGCAGGTGGGTAAGTGCTCTAGTTGCCACAGGGTTTCTTTGTGTGCCTTTGTCCTACTGGTGGTTGTGCAATCTTTAAACGATCTGTAATAAGGGGGGAGGGAGGGGAAGAAAAGAGCCTGCTGCTGTACTGCAGGTTGACTGGCTTGTTACTGGAGATGTCCAGATGTGTAGTAGCACAGTGCTGTTTTTTAACTATTTTTTTTCTTTTTGTTGGCAAATATGCTTCTGCTACGTGTTGATTCTTTTCTGCCACCTCTATTGTTTTTCCTGTGTTGGCTTAAGTCCTGGATGACTCATACTGAAATTAGCCACAGTATTTCTCTCCCATTTTCAGGTTTCTAGATAATCGGCTCTTTGCAACTTGTTCTGATGACACTACAATAGCACTTTGGGATCTGAGGAAGCTGAACACAAAAGTGTGCACTTTACACGGTCACACCAGCTGGGTAAAGAACATTGAGTATGACACCAATACAAGACTGCTGGTGACATCAGGATTTGATGGAAATGTGATCATCTGGGACACAAACAGGTGTGTGGGCATACTTGTGCTGTTACATTTCTAACCCTTGCCAAAGCTTTGCACTGCCTTGATATATAGTCCAGAAAATTAAAAAAAATAAGAGAGTTTTCTGACACTCCAGAATGTAGATTTTTCCTTTCTGGAAAGGATTTCCTCACCGCTGAGATAAGTCTGAGCTAAGTAGGGTAAGGACAACATACAAGAAGAGTTTTAGGATTGACCAAGGTGCTTGGCATGTCCTGGGCTCATGCAGACATTGTTAGGGACTTGAGTCTCAGTCCGACTATTTCTTGGTTGTATTTTCTTTTCCCTCCCCTGTGCAGGTGCACTGAAGATGGGTGTCCCCACAAGAAGTTTTTTCACACCCGTTTTCTTATGCGAATGAGATTGACACCAGACTGTTCCAAAATGCTGATCTCCACATCCTCTGGCTATCTTCTGATTTTGCATGACCTTGATCTAAACAAAACTCTAGAGGTTGGCAGCTACCCCATTTTAAGAGCTAGGAGAACTGCATCAAGTTCAGGTGAGTGCTTGTTGAAATGTCAGTAACAGCTTCTGTGATAGAATTCTTGTGGTTTCACTTGGCAGGCAGCTAAATGCTGTGCAGTCACTTGCTCATCCCCAGTGCTTTGGGGTAGAGAATAATATTAAAAAAAAAAGGTAATGCTTGTGAATTGAGATAAAGGCAATGTACTAAGACAGAAAAGGAAGGGAATATAATAGTAGCAGTAATCCTGTGTGTATATTTGCAAAACAAGTGATGCTCAAGGCGAGGCAATTTTTGGTATCAAGACTTTAGCACTACAGGACATAGTGTGGAATTTTGGCACCTCAGGCTTGCATGGTGGTGCTCTTGTTGTCGAACAGCAGACCTGATAGAGTCCTGTGCTCTAAGACTTCACTGCTTCCTGCTGTTGTGTGACAGTAATGGCAGAATAGAGACAAACTACACTGTGTGGGGTGTCTGAGAAGCTGGGAGGAAAGTTCATGCCCCATCTCCTAGTAGTAGGAGCACATCAGAAGCAATGAGTGCAGCTTCCCCCTTGCTCCCCATAGTATGATATGCTGGCATTTAATTTGTGTAAAGCACAACCAAATGGTGCTTGGTGACTGTAAGCGGAGCTTTGAAAGGTGTTCTGTTAACAAGATGCCTGTTCTCAGCATGACAGGGGAGAGCTAAGTGAAGGACGTGTGTAGTACACAGCCTGTTCTTAGCTTCTGTGTTCACGTGGCTGATGCTGTGTGCAGATATAACATCCTCAAGTCTGTCCAGTCCTCGAGCCGTTGGTTCCCCATGTCACCAGAATGATTCCAGTCCACTGTCTGAGAAGCAGATGTCACGGTCCTCACAGCGAGAAGGTGAGAAAACATAGAAACGAGCAGAACAGGATAGCAGGAAAACGCTGTTTTTCTTTGTAGCCCTTACTGGTGTTATATGAGCTCTGATAAACCAGTGAAGTATCACTGCATGCCGAAATCGAGAGTTGTAATCATTTTTCCTCTAAGAAAGCTGAAAGCAGCAGTGAGATTTTATTACGTATTAGTACATTATTTTTGTTATGCAAGTGTGCTGCCATTTCCTTGGTTGTTTTGTTTTCTTGTTGTTGTTTTTGTTATTGTTGTTTTGTTTTTTTCCTAGCACCACTCGTGTGAGTGACCTTCAGGGGGGAAAAACCAACAGAGCAGAACATAGTTGTGTTTTGCTTTTTGTTTCCCTTAGTGATGGCGATATGCATGTGCTGTTTCTCCATGAGAAGTCAATAGCACAGGAAAAGAACAGGCACATTAATCCTAAACGTTGACAGAATGGTTTAAGAAGTTTTGTTACAAAGCCAGCCCTGCCTAAATTCAGAACTAGGAACAAAGCTGAGCACCAACTTGGCAAATTCACAAGTGTTCAGAAATCTTTAGTGAATCGCTTGCTAATGTAAAATAACAGCGATGGTAAGCTTCAGTTACTTGTGGCTGTGAGTTGTTCCAACATACATGAAAGAAGGGAGCTTATCTGGACCCCAAGGCAGGAGTTACCTGTGAAAATCTCTTTAAGGCAGGCAGGGGAGAGGAGGCAAGATATGCACAGCTGAGCAGGCTTAGCAGAATTCGAAGAGGCCATTGTGCAAGTTTGAGAACGGGTAGTTCTTAGAAAAGAGGGCATTCAGGATTTTCTTTAAATGATGTGTCTGTGTGGAAGTTAGCCCTAACTTCAGTTCACAGCATGGGATGATTTAACACACACCCTGGAAGGTAAATTTCAGAAAAGGACCCTAGTAGGGATCGGGGCTGAGCACACTGGTATTAACTTCAGTTGCATTTCATATAGCTGCAGTCTTTGCCAGCAGTCAGACGAGGCTGACATGGCCTTCACCTCATGTCAACAACAGGGTGAAGCGAGGGGTGAAACAGTGTGTAGGCACTGAACGGGCTGCCCGGGGAGGCGGTGGAGTCACAGACCCTGGAGGTGTTGGTTTGGATTTTGTGTTGAGGGATGTGGTTTAGTGGAAAATGTTTGTTGACGGGTGGATGGTTGGACTGGGTGATCTTGGGGGTCTTTTCCAACCTTGGTGATTCTGTGATTCTATGAACGTGCAGAGTTCCTTTGGACTCACAGTTGACTTCCCTTCCTAGGTGGATCACCTAGAAATAGTTTGGAGGTCTTAACACCAGAAGTTCCTGGTGAGAGAGACCGAGGCAACTGCATTACATCCCTACAGCTACATCCGAAAGGGTGGGCTACCCTTCTTCGGTGCTCAAGTAATACAGATGACCAGGAGGTAAAACAAAAGGTTTTGAGCAGATACTTGTGAGTAAGCTGTATCAGCTGTACAACTGTATGGGAAACCCTGACTGTGGCATAAACTTGCGTTTGAATGAAGAAGTTTGATGGTAGGCAGAAATTAATAGTTTTTAAACCAGGATTATGAAATGTTTTTCTGATTGAAGAGTTCCTGTACAAGACTCTGTGTCCTTTATGCAGCATTCCTTTTGCCAAGCTTTAATGGAATACTTTTTATAGCGTACAGCTTGGCTAAATGTTTTCAAACAGTTCTTGGCCTCTCAAGCATATGACTTAAAAATATGTACCTCCCAAATACGGGAGAAACAAACTTGGAAAAAACAGAAGACTACACAGTTGTACAGTGGTGGGCATGGTTTAAGTAGAGCAGAGAAGCTCCTCTGAATTATTCAAATGCATATCCATCGATGTCGCCTGGTTAAAGATCTGCTGTGCTGACAGACGCTTTCAAGTGGCTATGAAAGGCTTCCAGAGCATATTTCTGCATTTGCTTAAAACTCCCATGCTGTAGGTTTGAACCTTATTAACAAAGGTGATATTTAATGTAATTTTTAAAAAAGTGATCTCAACTTTCCTCTTAAAAACTGTGGTGTGGGCATATTGTGCAGCAGAGCAGGAGATCCACCAAAGTAGTGCAAACGGTGTCAGTGACAGGTGACTGCATGCTGAGAGGAGGCATGAGGGACCCTTGGCCTCCTGGACAGTCCAAGAAGTTTTTTTTTCTACCAAGTGCCTGCATTCGAGATAAGAGGAGGCATGGTTGGCTGGAGGACTGCTACCTGTCCTTGCTTTTTTGAGTAGAGTCACATGAGGCTGCATCATGGAGACTGCAAAATGTTTTTAACATTGATCAGAGACTTTATGTCCCTGAAGTAGCTGGCTGAACGTTAGGTGCCCCAAAAGTAATCCCTCCTATTTAGTTCCATGGGAGCCACAGCAGCTACTAAAAGCACAGTTCCATAGAGCAAACTCTCAGCTGCAAAACACTCTTCTTCATCAGACTCACCATGATCAGCTGTGTGTTTTTGCCAGCAGTGCAAGAGCCTGCCGTTGCACACATCTGCACGGGCAGAGGTGACCCACTGTTGCCACTGCTGAAACGCACCACCCAGTGCCTCACTGTGCCCACGTCCACTTTCTGCTCCCCATAAACCTTCAGCAAGCATTGATGAATGCCACTGGGTGCCATTTTTGTCTGCATGGAGGAATTAAATTGCGCACCTCATTGTGGTCTCCCAGTGCTTGAGATTCCACTGGACAGTCATCTCGTTATCATCTATTTCTCTGAAGCTCAATTCAGTATTGTTATTCTGACAGTTGTGCAGATCTCCTGCCTAGCCTGCCAAGATGCAGATTTTGCATATATACTTTTTCAGAATCACAGATAATTCTTTAAATACCTGTTGCACACGTGCTTAAGAAGTTCAGTCAATCTGATAATGACGTGAGTTGTTTGTTTATTTATTTATCTTGCTTTGGAAAGAAGCCTCGCTTTGTACTGGCAGCCTACAGATGTGTAGAGGGCCGAGTGGAAGCATAGGAGGCTTGTTTGACATTTCAGTGCTGGTTCTGTAAACTCACCATCAAACCACTGTGCAGTGTAGAATTTTCTGAAAGTGCCATTGACCGACCCAGCTAAAACATGCTGGAGCCCTGGTGTCTGCCTCACTTTTCTCTGTTAATGTTAATTTGCATTGTTCCCTTTGTCTTTACTTCAAGAGAGGGCAGCGAACAAAACAAAGAACGTATCTTCTGCCTTGCTGTGGAGAACTCAGATTCAGACACAGTGTGAATTTAACTGGTAAATGGAGTGGATTTTGCATTTGATTTGTGATTAAATAATTAGATTAAGCACTAAAATCCCCCATTGCCTCACGGGCAACAAGCTGGATATAGGTCTGGTAATAGCATTTCTTCTAATGCTATTTTTGTCTTGTTTCAAGACTTTCCTCCTTTTGAAGTCAGGGGCATAGGGTGTCAAAAGGCCATTCTAAATTGTGTGAGGCTAACTTCTGCTTTTCTATAGATTTCATTTGAATGTTCTACTACATCAGAGCAAAATCCTGTCTGGAGGAGCAAGCTTTGTTCTTTCCAGGTGAAAAAGATTGTATTTAGACACTAAAGCAGAAGAAGTTTTGATCTGCTTTACATAAATTGTTCAAAGGGAAGAACTGGCACAGGTTGCCCAGAGATGCTGTGGATGCCCCCTCCCTGAGGCATTCAGAGGCGGGCTGGATGGGCTGTGAGCAACTGGTCTAGAGGGAGGTGTCCTGCCTGCAGCAGGGGGTTGGGACTGGGAGATCTTTAAGGTCCTTCCAACCCAAAGCACTCCATGGTTCTGTGATAAGGAGATGCCAGACAGCCTGGCGGTGCTCGCAGTAAGTGCTTGTGGGGGAGCAGATAAGCGAGAGCGTTGGTGGCTGCTCTGTCAGATGCTTAGCGAGCAGCCAGGTGAACGCGTCCGCAGTGCTTCACCGTCTTTCCTTTCTCTCTCTCCCTTCAGTGGACTTGTGTCTATGAATTCCAGGAAGGCGCCCCCGTGCGCCCCGTCTCGCCTCGCTGCTCCCTGCGCCTGACTCACTGCATCGAAGAGGCCAACGTGGGCCGGGGTTACATCAAAGAGCTCTGCTTCAGTCCCGACGGCCGGATGATCTCGTCCCCGCACGGCTTCGGGATCCGCCTGTTGGGCTTCGACGCGCACTGCAGCGAGCTCGTTGACTGCTTGCCCAAAGAAGCCAGTCCCTTGAAAGAAATCCGTTCCCTGTATTCTCACAATGATGTGGTACTGACAACAAAGTTTTCTCCAACCCACTGTCAGATTGCCTCGGGGTGCCTTAGCGGACGCGTTTCTTTGTATCAGCCAAAGTTCTAGGCGCACTGTACGTCGGCGGGACCTTCACGTGTTTGTGTTCTAACTTCAGCTTAGTTGAAGTGTGCTCTCTTGAAATCCCGTAAACCCGGACGAGATCATAGTTCGCGTGGTCTCAGTGATAATGGTGTGAGTTCCTGGTGCAGCACTGTATGCATTCTCATACTGCATCTGCAAGTCAGGCTCCATGCGTTGTGTTTTCGGCCTTATAGGCAGACCGTAGCTGCTTCTGACCCTGTGCCATCAAGTCGTCGTTCTGTTTGGTTTTGTACTGTAGTACTTGCTGGTAATTTTCTTCAGCATGACTTGAAGTGGGCTGTCTGGAAGAAACATAGGTGGGATGCAGGTAGGAGCTCAGCCACCACTCACCCAGGCTTCCCTGGTGCAGCACCTCTCTGTTCCAGAGGACCTCTCCCTTGCTGAAGCTGCCATACAGTGATTGTTAGATATTGAGCAGGCTTTGTGTGTGCTAGATTAGTTGGCACAAAAACACAGAAAGAAATTGTTTTGCATTAATTTGTATTTTTTTTTGTGGTTGGCTAGAAAGTTGGTCAGCTTTCTGTAATGTTTTGCTGTACTAAAAAAATCTTTGTAGACTGCTTTTCCTTGAATTATTAGTAGAAGGAAGAGGCTCCCAGGTAACAGCAGTACAATTAGGTGACGGCCCCAAGATGCAGCAGGGGAGGTTCGGGTTGGGTGTAAGGAAAAACAAGTTCTCCAGAAGAGTGGCCAGGTGTTGGAATGGGCAGTGGCCCAGGGAGGTGTTGGGATCACCATCCCTGGGGCCTGCAGGAGCTGTGGCACTAAGGAACAAAGTCAGTGGGCACGGCAGGGCTGGGCTGGGCTTGGGATCTTCGTGGTCTTTTCCAAACATAAGGATTGTATGGTTCTACGGATTGAGACACAGCTGCATTTTTTTCCTCAGATTGAGTCAGAAATGCCTGGAGCAGAGCAACAGGAGCTGAATAGGTAAACCTCTTCAGCTGCATCCGCTGCACATGAACCTTAGGGAATGTTTCTTACAGTGTGTAAGATTAATTGGCAACTTTTAGTCCTCAGCCAGTAGGATTTCTTTTGTGGGAAGCTTTCCACATCAGTTACATAAACCTTCATCCTGTGTTGGAGAATGAGCAGCACAGAATTCTTGCTTAGGGCCATTAGGTCTTCTCACTGCTCTGCACCTCATGTTACAGCAGGAGTTCCTTTTGGGAGTGTCTGTAGTACAAGCAGGCAAGTATTGCTTCACAAGTGTAGTCACTGGAGCAGATTAGAACCATTCCTGTCTAAAGATCTGTGTGGATTTAACTGGGGTAATTATAAAATCTGAAATGTGATTTAAGGGAGAACATCGGCAACCGAAGCATGAATGCCAAGGTTTAACCCTTAGGTTCATCACAGGCTCCCAGACAGGCGGGGGTGTTGGGTTATTAGGGTTGGGGGTGTCCCCATGGGCTGGCACAGGCTGCTGCTGTGGGAAGGAGCCCTGCCCACGGCATGGTGCTGGGCTCTGGTGATCCTTAAGGATCTCTGCTACAGTTTTAAGGTTTTGATGAATTTTTATTTAAAAACAAAAAAACAACAGGAAAAAAAACTCTTCAGCACTGGGTGTTTGATCATCTGAGGACTGTTAGTTACCTCCTGCACTGGGCTTTCAGTACCTCCAGCGGCTGGCTGCTGAAGGGCTGCCTTCAAATACCTTAATGTATTGACAGAACTCCCATCAAATTATCATCTCAGCTGGAGGAGCAGAGTGCCCTTAACCTGATGTGCAGCAGCCCGTGGTCTTCTCAGACAACAGAGCGGTAGAACATTTTCAGACCTTCTGGGCTGCTCTCTCGTTGCTGCCTTGAACTCAAGAGCACTGATGAAGTAACAGATGAGGACATGCCTTATTATCCAGGGCAGAGCATCAGCCTTGGTTTCAGACAGTTGTCACTTTAGAATGCTTTTGGAGCTGTGTGTGAGGAGCACGGTTCTCCAGAAGGATGCTGTTTGTGTGTGCAGCTGAGCTGTGACATAACTACTCTTCCCATTTCTCTGTGGTGAGCTTTAGCTGGAACTGGGAGATTGCAGTCATTTGACTACTCCTTTTCTGCGGTACTCGGAAGTTTTCAGTCGAATCTAACATATTTCACCTGTGGGTTTCAGAAAGCACTTGTAGAAACACCAGTGAATGATTTATGACTGGGATGAGTTGCCGTTTCAGCTCGGTGGAAGCAGTGGTACTCAGGTTTTGTCTCTCTGAATCATTGCCTTGTGAAGAAATCTGTTGCTGAGCTTTTAGATTCACTCTAATTAGCCAAAAACGTTACCGTGCTGAAAAAGACGAATCCCTAACCTTGCACTCGGAGTGTCCCAGCTACATCAACCTGCCTGTCTCAAGCATAGGAAATCGTTTTATTGGATGTATTAAAGTCTGCACTAAGAGCGAAGTACAGCAGTGGCTTCAAACGTGTTTACTTTTGACCTCTCGAGCGTTACAGCGCGTGATAGACGTTGCAGTTTTTCTGAGCAGGATGGAGCTCCTTGATTGTAAAGCATGCAGATATGTTTTCTAAATGCATGGTTTTGTATTTATTGCTTTCCACAGTACAGAAATTCCCTCATTCCCGGCACAGCTGGTCAGCAGAAGCGGATAGGCTGCGTCGTCGAGGTCTCTGCGTGGCACTGTCAGCTCACAGCGGTGCGCATGGAACCAAACCAGTGCCCGAAGGTAGCTCTCCTTTTGTAATAGTCCAGTGGCTGTTGTAGGAGTAAATGCATTTCCCACCTGTTCCATTGGAGGTTAGTCTTTGCATCGTTTGTAGGAAGGGAGGAAGAAACCTTTAATGGGACTGTGAAACGACACCCATGTCTGTGTACTTTTCCTGTGTGTGAATTTCAGTGTATCTGCATCCACTGGGCATCATCGGTCCAACAGGGGTAGTTCAGGGAAAAACAAAACCTCCATCAGAATTACTGGGGATAAAGCACAGTGATACTGACACTCATCTGTTTGCACTCTTTGAGACTTGGTAAGGACAATTTGCCTACCACCAGAATTGGAATGTAAACGTCAGGTTTTTTCTGTGTTTGTTTTTTTTTGTTGTTGTTAATTTGGGCGACACTGGCGTGCAGCAGGTCGCAGCACTGCAAAGTGTGGACCTGCTGCTCCGTAACTTGCCCTCTTGAAAGCTTTTAAGAATTCTAGTTTACAAGATTCTAAGAAGTAGGAGTAAAAGAAGGTTGAGAACCCTAATATTTTTGTCCTGCAAGAGAAAGAAACTTCTAATTTCCTGATCTCGGTCAATAGTGCATTTTCTTATGCACTAGGTATCTTCATTTAAGTGTAAAGTTTTTAATACTAGAACAAATTGTGCATGTAAATATTTTGAAATACCTGAGATTTCGTAGTATGAAGTGTAGCCTTTTCATACAATATAAAAGTATCAGAACTGCTCTGAATATATTGTACTTACAGCCGTACAGTAACTTACTATTTGTGGAACGTTTTCCTTGCTTGCGTAATAAATTAAACATTTAATAACTCAGCAAATTAAAATCTATTTTAATGTATTTGTCTGACACTGAGCTGTGTTCTGTAACACTCACTGCTTCTTGCCCGTTCACTGGAACTGAGGGGAAAGAGCTGCACCTGGAGTGACATCCGCATCTACGTTTCCCTCTGTTGTTGGCCAAGCTTGAGCACAGGTGTAGCATGGTGTCCTTCCAAGGGCCTACAAAGCCAGGCCTAGGGGCAGCTGCAGTAATTGCAGATGGTCATTACACAGAATGGCTTGAGTTGGATGGGACCTCGCAGCCCAAGCAGTTTAGATTTGGAGCAGTCTGGGTTGGAAAGGACCTTAAGAGACCACCTGGTTCCAGCTGCCCTAACTAGCTGCACGTGGAAGCGCTGACAGCTGGTGCTGTTAGGAGATGAGCTCTCCTGGCCTCCAGACAGCAGCCTTTAAGTCACAGCCCATTTCCACTCTGGAATCTCAGCATGGCGTAGTTACTCCTGGTTGTGATCAGTTTGATAATACTGGAAAACAGCCTTGAACCCAGCCTCAAGTAGCTGAAGCAGCACAGCTGGCTCTGAGCTGTCTGCCAGGATGGCAACGCAGCCTGCTCAGTGCAGTTTCCCACATCGCCCTGTGTGCGTAGCCTTTGCTGTGACAAAGCTCTCTGTCTTTACTCCATACGAGTCTGTTCTTTAACAAGTAGAAGATCTGTGATTTGTTAAACAGACAATCACTGTCACCGTGCTGCAAAACCAACTGTAGTTACAAAGCAAAACAGAGACTGTGCTGGAACAACGCTGCATAGCCAGACAGCAACAGATAAGAACTGCGACTGACATTTTCCCAACTGTAATTAACACCATCCATTAGAGACAGCTTATTTCAAACTGTAAGCTCTTCAAAAAAAATCCACTTATTCCATCAAGAAGAGATTAAATAAAGTCACAACCGTAACACTGGTAAAAATCAGATTCTGACAGTAACAAACATTCAATAAACGTTTTATTTCAATGCAAATAACCACAACATTCAGATACAGCAATGCTCATTTGTGCTGGGCCCTTTTGGGCTGTGAAGCGAGGGACCTCATTAGGACCATAATCATGACACACTGATTAGAGCAAGTATTTTGTGACAGTTTAGCAAACAAAAAATAACCATCACTACAAAGCTTACGAAAAGAGTAACTTGGTAAAAGTTTATCCCCATCTTTCAGAATAGGTGGTGAGGTTGTTTTGTTTTAATTTTTTTTTTGTCTGTTTTTAAATACAACATAAGGACATAAAGTTCCCAGGACAACCAAGTTCTTCATTAAGACCCCTCTCCTGGTCTGGCTATGCCTATCCCCCTCCCGCTCCTTTCTCCAAGGCCTACAGCCTCACATCTGTAGGACGCAGAACACACATTTCTGTACATCTTTATCTGCACTTGCCCACAGAAGTCCATCAGTGCTTCCCCAAGTGCTGCATCATTCCAAAGGTCATCTCTGCCTGCCTCCTGGTACTACAATCACAGACTTCCCCCAGTGGGTATTGCCCAGGAACTTAATCCTGATGGTGCCACGGCGCAGCTCTGTCTTACAGAACTGCTGAACGCACACGTCAAGGAGGCAGAGCTCCAGCTTTCCTGTAAGAAGTCTCGTTGTGATCAGTTATGGCACAGCTCTGGTGAAACGCAGCCATCTGCGAAAGACGAGATACCTCTGTAGAAAAGAGCTGCCCGAGAACTACTTTCACAACAGGAAAATACAGGAAAATGAACTCTTATAACAAGCACTACAAAAAGAGACGTCTTCTTTCTGGCCTCACAGATGTAGAATAGAAAAAGAAGTAGTAAAAAAAAAAAAAAAAAAGCAGAACAAGCTCCGCATTTACAAGTAGAAGGATTGTAACAAGGAAGGACACTTTAAAGCTTTCTCATCTCTGCTGTTCCTCTCCTTCCACTTTTCCCTTTTGACGTTAAACTGTGTGCGTACATACGTGCACACAAATGTGAGTCAGGGCACAGCGAAGGCAACATTCAGTACCTGCTTTTATGCTGCCGAACGAAACGTTCTGCTTGAAGCCGAGCACCCAAGCGGCCTGCAGGAGCCTTGGCACAGGCTTCGTTTAAGCACAGCACTCAGGAACTCGGTCGTCCTCCTCAGGGGTCGGTGTCCATTTGGCCACGAGCAACGGTGAGCACTGAGGAGCCTACATCTGTCTGAGCACGTAATCTCACGTCAGCATTCTGAAGTTCATCACATAAGGGAATGAATTTCCATCAGCCTCCCCCTGACTTCCGTGTTCTACAGGGCACACAGTGGAGCGCGCTCGGTCATGGAGTGTTAGGAACTTCTGGGAGTGATACTGAGCCAGCCGCTGGGCTGAGTGATGAGTTCGTGGGGTTTTTGGTTTTGGTTTTATCTGTTCATCTTGTAGTTTCATTATGGGTAAATCCACCTGCCAGCAAATAAATAACATAAGAAGCTACTCGTAATTGCACCAAGGTTTGGATGTACCACCGTTCACCCCATATGCAGTGAAGGCCAAGGCTGAATGCCCTTCACACTACGCAGGCACTGCTCCCAGGGATCAAGCGTCATCAAATATGGCAAAAACCAAATGAATTGAAGGGACGAAGAAAATAAGTGTTCATAACAGCTTTAGCAAGAACTCATAAGTTGCATTGATTATGCCCCAGGATAGGACTGAACGATGGTAATTCAGATGGGCTCCCCTGAAAAGATTGATCAATTTTCTGTCGCGCTCCAGCCAGATCTTCACAAAAACTGTCGAGAAGGACTGAAATTCACCCCCGATCTGAGCTTGCATGCGAGCTTTTACAACATTCATTGGGAAGAACAAGAATCCCAGCATGGCACCCAACAGCCCGCCACAAATGAAGTCATTGACCAAATGAGTGCTGTAAGAAGTTGCTTCAGGCAGACATTGTTTAATAGGTCCTCTGAGGCCAAAGAAGAGTACATTACTGGGCCCATTGCGGAGCAGAATAGGCACCAATCCCCGGTAGTACTCTCTCATCCCATAGACTTTCAGTACCTTGAAAGCCTGGTACGTGTTTGTGAACTTATCGTGGTGTTTGTAGTCCTGAAGCAAAGTCTGCACTCGCTCAAAAGGAGTAAGAACAGCTTCTGTGGTCCCTGCAAGCACTGCTGCCATGCTGCGTGTCAGGAGCTCGGGAGCAGTCGTGTGGCTGTGGAGCAAGGAGGAGAAATCCTCATACAAGCCGAACATGAGAGCCAGCGTGGTCGTCTTCTGCATTAAGGGAGGGAGGATGCCACGGTAGAGATTTCGAATTCCATCCTTCTGCAGCTGATGTATCGCATCCTTTGTTTTCAGACCATACAGCTGCTGTCGAAAGAGGACCTTCTGGATGGGAAAAGTAACTGCTATGTTGGTGAAGGCCGCACAGTAACCACACAGGTAATGTTTGCTAGAGGTAGCCGTAACGTCACTGCTTGGATCTTCCTCTGAATTTCCTGGGGAAAAGCCTTCTGAACCCATCATACTGTCTTTCTTACTGCTGTGTACCTCAGTCCTCTTTTCCTACATCAAAAAACAGAGAAGAACGCACGTGAGCAGAGCTGCGGATGGCCCAGCTGCTTTCTCTCACACCAGCACCCAGCACGGCACATCTGAGCAGAGCCCTTAAAACCTGAAGAACAGTCAATGCCAAATCTTTCAGATGTTACGCCCTTTTCTGCAGGGGTCTTGGAAGCACAGGTTTTCCTCCTGGTGTTTTCTAATTGATACAGAAACAAAGAGGGAAACAAAATGACATATGAATCTCCTGTGCTACATGACAGCTGACAGAGGGAAGCTCACCCGTTGGACCTCCCACAGGGCACACCAGGAATTCAGATAGCACACGGTCTGCTCTCAGCCTGTTAACAGCAAAAACACAGCACTGAGGGTGGAGGCAGAAGAGAGTCCAAGGAAAAAACAAACAAACCCACTGACACACACAGTATTTCTATATATAGTATGATCCGCAATCATAGGATTAATTTAAAGGACAGGCAACTTCTAACACAACTTTGAACATTCCTAGCAGGTCCAGGTAGTCAACCTGCAGGTTCATCTGCAGAGGAAGACGCACCTGTAACCCCTGCTTGATTTTAATGCAGAGAAGGCCTCAAGCTACGGCAGCTCTGAGGGACCCCCGAACAGAGAACGCCTCTCTACACTGAGCAGAGAAGCTCCAGAGTGACCCTTAGGAGGCAGTACTTGAACATCATTTAAACAGGGATCGCTGACTCAGCTGTTACAAAGTGCTGACAGCCCCTGGCAGCAAAGCGCATGCAATTTCAGAGGCCTTAAAACCATACCAGGAGCCAGTCCTCCAACCAGGCAAGCCATTTCTCTCACTACAGAAGCCTGTACAAACGTGAAACTGTTTATCTTCAGCACTGCGGAGGCAAACCGGACTGCTCAAAGTCACACCATGCTTTACTTTGACCATGTGCATTTTCTTCTGAAAATGAGTTGCATACATCTCTGTGGACTTACTTTTCTCCTGCACACACTATGTAATGCTTTACATTCTGACACGTGTCCAAATCCTAGAATGGCTTGGGTTGAAAAGGACCTCAAAGATAATCTGGTTCCAACTCCCTGCAGGTCGCCAACCAGCAGCCCAGGCTGCCTAGAGCCACATCCAGTCTGGCCTTGAATGCCTGCAGGGATGGGGCATCCACAGCCTCCTTGGGCAACCTGTGCCAGTGCCTCACCACCCTCTGGCTGAAAAACGCAGTGTTTGTGTTGATGAGAAAGCTCACGACAGAGGAAGAATTCAGTTTATGTGGCTCATGCACTACGCCATATACACACCAGCTCACAGCACCTTGTGGATGACAGCAGCTCTATCTGCACGCACTGAAGCAGCCACACCTGCAGGTACACTGGTCTCAGTCGCTCCTCCACTGGAAGGGGAACAGTGGGACGAGAGCTCAGCTCACAGTGCGGAGGTGCCAGCAGAACACCACCGTTACATTGAGCATTCAGAAGCCTGTGCCCAGGACATCAGTTTTCCCCTAGAAATAAGCTAATAAGAGACGTTTGGTTCACTCTCATGGCCCCTCTGGTGGGGCTGTTGGACGCAGAACAACGCACAGGGCAGTGACACCCCCGAAGGTGAGCCGTATGGCTCAGAGCTGGGGAGCAGCAGGTGTTGGGCACTGCGAGTCTGCCCGGCAGTGCTGGGGGCAGAACCCTGTCTGCAGACAGCCTGCAAGCACAAACCACCTACTGATGATACACAACCCACTCTGTTACAAGCCAATATCAGAGTTCAGCTCTTAAAAAGACAGCGAGAGGTTTGGGTCTATTGTACTGCCTCCACACAGACCCCCAGAGCTGCAGCAGCATTCTGTTTCCATGCAGGATGTTCCCTCCTGCATCTGAGTGTGGGGACACACGCAGTCCTTTCTGACTCTGCCCCCCCTCGACCCCCACTCCCCTGACACGCACACGTGGCTCTTCTGCAGGACAGCAGCCCACCTAACCTGCAGCTCACTGGCTCAGAAAGGCACAGGGGAAAGAAAGCAAAACAACAACTTTTTATCTGATACTGCCTTTTCACAGAATCAAATTTATGTTGAAAAAGAACAGAAACAATATTTTAATTTTTAAATGGAGAAGACCTAAGATCACAGAATCGTATGGACTAGAAGAGGCCTCAGAATATCAAGTCCAGCTTCCCTGCTGAAGCAGGTTTCCTACAGCAGGCCGCCCAGGAAAACATCCTGGCAGGTTTGAATATTTCCAGAGAAGGAGACTTCACCACCTCTCTGAACAGCCTGCCCCACTGCTTCGTCACTCTCACAGTAAAGAAGTTCCTCCTGCATTCCAGTTTCTGCCCATTACCCTTTGTTCTATCACACCACTGAAAAAAAAAATATCTATGTTTTAGGCCATTACTACTGCTATGCTCCACCTCATCCCTTTGTCTCCCACCTCCCTTCAGATATCCACTAATGTTTACCAGATCCCCCTCAGTCTTCTTTTCCCCAGGCTGAACAGCCCTGGTTACTCAGCCTTTCCTCACACAGGAGATGCTCCAGGCCCTTTACCCTCTCTCTAGCTCTCTGCTGGACTCCTTCTAGGAATCCCTGTCTTTTTTGAACTGGCAAACCCAGAACTGGACACACTATTTTAAATGTGGCCTCACCATGGCAGACAAGAGAATTAGGATCACCTACCTCGACCTGCTGGCCATGCTCTTTTAATGCACCCCAGGCAGCCTGCAGCCTCTACTGGTGCACATGTAATTCTCACCCAGGTGTAGGACTCACACTTGTTCTTGTTGAAGAGCATCGGGTTCCTCTTTCCCACTCTCCAACCTGCCCAGGTCTCACAGGAAGGCAGCACAGCCCCCTGGTGCGCCAGCCACTCCTCTCAGCTTTGTACCACAGGAAACTTGTTAGGATGCACTCTATCCCTTCCTCCTGGTACCTGATCAAGACACTGAACGAGCCCAGCCCACCCCTGCCGTGCCCACTGAGCTGTGTCCATCAGCGCCACACCTCCACGGCTCTGGGACAGCTGCACAGACGCTGACCCCACCTCTCCCTGCACATTCTGTCTGACCGCCCTTCGGAGAAGTTTTTCCCAATTCCCCACCTGAGCCTTCCCTGATGCAGCCTCTCACAGAATCACAGAATGGCTGGGTTGGAAGGGACCCCAAGGATCACGAAGCTCCAACTCCCCACCAAGCTCCCCATTTCGTACCAGACTCCATCCAACCCGGCCTTGAACAGCGCCGGGGACGTTCGGGGCACCCGCAGCCTCTCCGAGCAGCACCCCTCTCTCGTCCCGTCGCCGTTACCCGCAGCAGAAGCCGAGCCCCAGCTCACCGCAGCCTCCTTTCGGAGAGCCGCACAGAGCAGCGAGGTTCCCCCCGATCCTCCCGTCCTCCCGCCGCAGCCATCGCAGCTCCCCCTCCCGCCCCCAGCGGAATTCCCGACCGCCCGCACTCCGTTCTCCGGACTCGCTCTCCGCCCAGCCCGCAGCCGCAGCCCCGCGTCCCTCACCGCATGTCCCGTCATGCGGCGGCCGGTGCGGATCCCTCGCCCCGCGGGAAGGCCTCGGTGAAGGCGCGGCAGCGCAGCGGGCGGCGGGCGGCTCCGGCGCCGCCGGACGGACGAGGACCTGCTGGCAGAGCGGACGCGGAGTTACGGGGAGCGGAAGCCGCGCGGCGCCTCCCGGGCCCGCCCCTCAAGGTCAGGCGGCGGCGCGCCGAGCCCGGCTCCCGAACCGCGCCTTCCCGCCCCAGGGCCGCGCCGCCCCCCGAGCCGGGCCGGACCGGGCCGAGCCCAGCCGGGCGCGGCACTCGCGGCCCGGGGACGTACCTGCAGCTCCGGCCATGGCGGGGCGGGACCGGCCCGAGCCGCGCGTCGCCGTGTGACGTCCGACGCTGCGTGATGACGTCACCGGCGGCGCCGGGGGGAGGAGCACGCCGAGGGAGGCGGGGCGGCCCCGCCCCTCCCGCAGCCAATCAGGGCGTGGCGCGCGGCGATGCCGCGGCACGTGGGGTGCTGAGCGCGTCTCGGCGCGCCGCGTGGGCCGGCGGCCGCGGGACGATCGCGCGTCTCCTGGGTGAGGCTTATGGCGTCCTGCTGCGAGACCCTTGGGTCGGTGAATGATGCCAGTGCAAATACGCGCTCCTGAGGGAGAGGAAGGCTGCAAGCTCTTCCTGTCACAGAGTCACAGAATGGCCAGGGTTGGAAGGGACGTCAAGGATCACGGCTCTCCAACCCCCTGTCACGTGCAGGGCCGCCGACCTCCACATTTCTTAGCAGGCCAGTACTGTTCCTAAGGAGTGCTGCTAAGCTCCATCCGTTTGTTGAAGGAACGGTTGGATTTCGTGTGCAGGGACGTGGTTTAGTGAGAGCTATTGGTGATGGGTGGATGGTTGGACTGGGTGATCTTGCAGGTCTTTTCCAACCTTGGTGATTCTGTGATTCTGTGATCCTCTAAGTTCTGCCTGCTCCCGCAGGTGACATCTGGCCCATGATAAGACTGCAGAAGTGCCTAGAAGTAACACTGTCAGCAGGGAAGAAAGACAGCAGATGTAACTAATGAGACGTGATCCTTAGAATCATTGAATCGCTAAGTATGGGACAGACCACCAAGGTAACTGAGTCTTACCCAGCCCACCCCCATGTATCTATCCACATGTCTCAGCAGCATGTTCCTCGAACACTTCCAGGGACTGTCACTTCATCCCCTCCTTGGGCAGCCTGTGCCAGTGCCATGCCACTTCATCAGAGAATAAAATTTTCCTAATACTCAGCCTGAATCACCTCTGAATTGTTAGCACTTGTTAATTCTTGTTAATTAATGCTTGCAGCACCATGTCTCTGATGCCTGACTGCTGTTCTGTATGTGCATACGAGCTTCTTTTCTGTGGAAAGACTTCATGGTACTTCCAAGAAGTCCTTGTCATGGACAATGACCTCACCGTGTGCTCTCACTTTCCAGACAACCTCAGGCTATGTCCAGTTAACAACTGCAGCTTCAAAACTTGAAGCTGTAGATCCATGCTCCTGGGACACACCAAGTGAGGCTCTGCACCTTCAGCTGGTCCAGCATCCATTTACACAGTGTGCCAGTGGGGCAGTCTTCTTCACGTCCATGAACCCTGCATCCCCAAACCTCTATGTGGGGACCAAGGAGGTAAATCCCTCCCCACTGTAAGGGCAGAGCAAGTCCGAGAGTACCTCCTTAGACTGAATGAATACAAGTCTATGGGGCCAGATGGCGTGCATCCCAGGGTCCTGAAGGAGCTGGCTGAGGTGGTTGCCGAGCCGCTCTCCATCATATTTGAGAAGTCGTGGCTGTCAGGTGAGGTCCCGGATGACTGGAGGAAGGGTCACGTCACTCCCATATACAAGAAGGGGAGCAGGGAGGACCCGGGGAACTACAGGCCGGTGAGTCTCACCTCCGTGCCTGGGAAGATCATGGAACAGATCCTCCTGGACAACATGCTCGATCACATAAAGAATGAGCATGTGATCCGAGACAGCCAGCACAGCTTCACCAAAGGAAGGTCATGCCTGACTAATCTTGTGGCCTTCTATGATGGAGTGACGGCATTGGTGGACGAAGGGAAGGCGACCGATGTCATTTACCTGGACCTGAGCAAGGCCTTTGACATGGTCCCCCACCACATCCTCATCTCCAAATTGGAGGGAAGTGGATTTGATGGGTGGACGACCCGATGGATAAGCAATTGGTTGAAAGGCCGCAGACAGAGGGTGGTGGTCAATGGCTCTATGTCCAGGTGGAGGCCGGCAACAAGTGGTGTCCCCCAAGGGTCTGTCTTGGGACCGGTGCTCTTTAACATCTTTATTAATGACATCGATGAAGGAATTGAGTGCACCCTCAGCAAGTTTGCTGACGACACCAAGCTGAGTGGTGCGGTTGATACGGCGGAAGGAAGGGATGCCATTCAGAGGGACCTCGACAGGCTTGAGGGCTGGGCTCGGGTGAACCTAATGAGGTTCAACACGGCAAAGTGCAAGGTTTTGCATTTGGGCCGGAAGAACCCCAGGCACCCGTACAGGCTGGGAGGAGTGGGCCTTGAGAGCAGCTCGGCAGAGAAGGACCTCGGGGTCCTGATGGACGAGAGACTGAACATGAGCCAGCAGTGCGCTCTGGCAGCTCGAAAGGCAAATGGGATCCTGGGCTCCATCAGGAGAGGGGTGGTCAGCAGGGACAGGGAGGTGATTGTCCCTCTCTACTCGGCTCTTGTGAGGCCCCACCTGGAGTCCTGTGTCCAGGTGTGGAGCCCGCAGTACAAGAAAGACATAGAGATCTTGGAAAGGGTCCAGAGGAGGGCGACTAAGATGATCAGGGGGCTGGAGCACCTCCCCTATGAGGACAGGCTGAGGGAGCTGGGCTTGTTCAGCCTGGAGAAGAGAAGGCTGCGGGGCGACCTCATTGCAGCCTATCAATACCTGAAGGGAACCTACACCCAGGAGGGGAGTAAACTCTTCAGAAGGGCTGACAACAGCAGGACTAGGGGAAATGGATCAAAGTTGAAGGAGGAAAGATTTAGGTTGGATGTTAGGGGGAAGTTCTTCACAAGGAGAGTAGTTAGGCCCTGGAACGGGCTGCCCAGGGAGGTTGTGGATGCCCCGTCCTTGGCCGTGTTCAAGGCCAGGTTGGACGGGGTCCTGGGCAACCTGATCTGAATGTGGATGTTTGGTGGCCCTGCTGGGCAGGGGGGTTGGAACTACATGATCCTTGAGGTCCCTTCCAACCCAGGTGATTCTGTGATTCTGTGATTCTGTGAATAGCACGCAAGGGCATCATAGGGGAAGAACAAAGCAGTTTCCCTTCTCTGGTTACTCAAGCCCTGCTGGGCTCAGCCAGGGAAAGCACTGAGTTTGCAGAAGACCTGTGGGCAGCAGATGAGGAGTGCTAAACCCTTGCTTCAAGTTCTGGAGGCTGTGAGGTAGGTAGTAAAAATGAAGAGGATGCTCAGGCTGTGTACATGCTGCCATACCAGACCCACAGCCTGAGCCCCATGCTTGCCAGTATTACATTCAGCAGGCTTCAAAGCAACAGACTGCATGCCCTTCAGAGGGACTCCATGCTGAAGTCACAGAATCACAGAATCACCAAGGTTGGAGACCTACAAGATCATCCAGTCCAACCATCCACCTATCACCAACAGTTCTCACTAAACCACATCCCTCAACACAAAACTCAAACGTCCCTTGAACACCTCCAGAGTCGGTGACTCCACCACCTCCCTGGGCAGCCATTCCAGTGCCTGACCACTCTTTCAGACAAGCAGCATTTCCTAACATCCAGCCTAAATCTCCCGTGGTGCTGCTTGAAGCCATTCCCTCCAGTCCTATCACTGTTACACAAGAGAAGAGGCCGACCCTCAGCTCACTGCAACCTCCCTTCAGGAAGTTATAGAGAGCAATGAGGTCTCCCCTGAGCTCCTCTTCTCCAGGCTGAACATTCCCAGCTCCTTCATCTGCTCCTCATAAGGCCTGTGTTCCCTGCAGTGGGAGCTGCAGCAGAACAAAGAGCCGAGGCTTTGGCCAGCTCTCTGCGAGGCTGCATCATCCAGCAGTGCTTTCTCAGGGTTGAGAAGGGAGGAATCTTCATTTACGCACAAGGGCAAGCAAAACTGGAAGGAATCATCTTCTGGGATCTGTCCCATGCAGTGCTGTGTGTTCAGAACAGTAAGGTGCTGTGAAGGCTGCTGTGGGAACTTCACTTCACTTCACTTGCTGCTACTCCCCTTCTCTCCCAGGCACAGCTTGGTCTGCCTGCCTCAACAGAAGGCTGGTTGCTGGCAGCCCCTGCCTTCTGCCTGCAGTAACCTCATGATTGGGATTGGAAACATTAACTTGGTGGCACACTGGAGTTGTGTAGTTAGCCTCCTCTGCCTGTATATGCAGCTCTCACCTTGCAAACACCTTCCAGTACCTAAGTGGGAGGCAGAGCAACTTGTTACATAGGCGGAGAGTGGCAGCACAAGGAAGAGCACCTATAAACTAGAAGGGGAAATATAGGTGGGGAGGGAATTGTTTACCCACAGGATGGCGAGGCACTGGCACGGGCTGCCTGCAGATGTGTGGGTGCTCCATTCCTGGGGGTGCTCATAGCCAAGGCTGGATGAGGTCTGAGCAGCCCGAGGTAGGGGTGGCAAGCTGCTGGACACAACATCCCATCCAGCCCAGCCATTCTGTCATTCCATGGTGACAGTCTACTTGACTGGCAAGAGCAGCAGATGGAGCCTTGCACTCATGAAACACAGGAGTTTTTTTGCAATATAGCATTTTGTTTAATGCAACGAGGGCCCCTGCTTCCTCTCCAGAGCACATCCGGTGGGATGAAGGCTGGCCAGGATGGAGCTGCTGTGAGGATTTTGCTCCCCTGC